AAGATGTCAAATCCATCCATGGCAAAGGATGTCAGTCCCTCAGTGATAATCAGTACTTTTCAAGGTCTTTGAAGCAAAAGTTTAAAGACATTTTGAGGCACTAATATCATAGGATTACTAACTCATAGTACTATTTTCCCCTGTATTTTATTTCTTCTAGTTTAAGCTTCACATTGTCAGCTACTGAAATAATTTCAAAATAAAATCATTTAAATTCAGCTATCACAATGATTGGATAATAATAGTTCTTCTGATGCCTGGAATGTAATGTCCTCTTGAATGAACTTAAGAGGAAACTTTGCTGATACAGGTTTGTACAACTAAATATTTTTCAACTTTTACAAGCAGTCACTTCTCAATCCTCTGGCAAGCATGCCACAGGCAGCCACCCCTATATAAATATGCAGTTAGAAAGATAAACACTCACTAAAGTCCCTAGTGGTAACATTGTTTCTCAAGGTTCAGCAATATTTGTTCAGTAGGTTAAGAAAGAGATTAGTAATGTTTCCATTGGGCTCTATTCCTTCCTAAAGCCAGCCACCCTTTTCCCTAAGAGAAAGGACATACTCTGAGCATGTGTTCCAGAACGCCTCAGGACAACTTTCTACTTTGAGATCAAACCAGCTCACCATTGGTTTCATGGTAAGCCACCCACTTTTTAAAGGGCCATTATTTTTTAGTAACTTAATAAGTCAGCCCTCCAAAATAATAAAAGTAAATTTGTAGTATAAATTTTATTTTTAAAGATGGTAGTATAGCTTGCTCTGGCTGGTGTGGCTCAGTGGATTGAGTTTCAGCCTGCGAAGTAAGGGGTCACTGGTTAGATTCCCAGTCAGGGCACATGCCTGGGTTGCAGGCCAGGTCCCCAGTAGGGGGTGCACAAGAAGCAACCACCACATATTGATGTTTCTCTCTCCCTCCCTTCCCTTCTAAAAATAAATAAATAAAATCTTAAAAAAAAAGATGTTAGTATAGCTTAACTATTTACACATTAAACCAAGAATGATCCAGATAGGTATGCTGATCTAATTTCACAGACTTACAGACATTTGAAGACCTTAATCTGTCAGTTAGTATGGAAAGACCTCTGGTCTTGGTTCCAGTCTAGTTAGTTTAATGAGTAACTGATTTCTGGGAAAGCTGGGCTGTGCTTTCCTTATAAAATAAAGGAGAATGGAGTAGACGAGCTCTAACATCACTCTAGCTCTGAAAATTATTTTGAGATCTGATACATGCTTAGGAAAAAACAGATCTCATTTTCCCATCTCATAAGATTTTTGTGAGGACCAAGTGACAAGATGTAACCCAAAGCATAGTGTCATCCACTGAATAAAACACACAGGTGAGGGGTGGCTGTATTTGCTTTCTTATCTAATTAGCATGTGATAACTAGATGAAAGAAAAACAATAACAGAAAATGTTTACCCCTATACTTTAGAGAAGGAAGGAAATAATTTAAGATCCTAGAGTTATTTATGGTTCTTTCAGATAAAGATTGGATGAAGTAACTAAACTTGGCATCTATTATTATGTTGGTTGCAAGCAGCTAGTGTAAAATCTTTGTCAAACAAAGTAATATAGTCCTTTTACTTGATTAAAACTTTAGAAGTATTAACAAAGTAATCATTTAAAAAATAAATCTAGTATTTAGGCATAGGTACTGTTGTTTTCTTTAAACTTTTTTGTTTATTGATTAATTCCAAGTACTTTTGGAGGGGCGGAGGATATATAATAGTGAACAAAACAAGCAGAGTTCCTTTCATCACAAAGCTAGCATTCTCACACTAATCTGGGGAAATAGAATATATACAAATAAACTAATAATTATACCAATCCAAAAGAGGGGCAACATTTAAATCGGGGTAAGGAAGACGGGGGAGAAACAAAGAGGGGAAATGCCATTTTCTACAGAGTGGACAAGGAACATGTTAATTGAGGAGAGACTGAAAGGGAGCAGAGAGCAAGTCACATAGATACGGGCCTATTCCAGACAGAGGGAACAGCAAAGGCAAAATTCCCGAGGTAAGAGAACTCCTGGGGGATGTGGGGAACAACAGCAAGAAGGCCAGAGAGGCAGTGAAAGAATAAGAGGAGTGATTGATTCTTCAAGATGTTTTTCTAAGAAAAGTACAATCAAACTTCATCTTATCACTGTTTTCATTAAGTCCAACAAAAACTCTTTATTAAACTTTAGTTCTGTGCCTCAGTTTTTCACTTATAAAGCAGGGATGATAATAGTACTTCATAGACGTGTTGTGAGGTCTAAGTGACTCACCAAATGTAAAGAATAATTAAGACAGTCAAGTACAAAGTAAACTATGGAAGGCTAGTTTTTATTACTACCACCACCACCACCATCATCATCATCATTATCATCTCTTTATTGACAATAATATCAATAATTCAGTTGTTAGTCCAATAGAATTATTTTGCACCAAGCATTTATTGGGAAAGTTTCCTTACACATGTTGTTGAAACATTAAGTAGGATCATGGTACTTAGTGACTCAAGCACAGAAGTTCATGCTATCAAAGGTACTGCAGAGAGCTAAAAACAACAAAAAAATTAGGGTTTGAAACTTAGCATGTTAACCTAGACATAAAATTAGCATGATATCATATCCATACACTTGAGTTTTTCTTTATTATTTTCAGTCTCACTCAGTTTCCTCTCTCCTGGTGACGACACAGAATTCTTGGATGTTTGCAACATCTTTCACATTTATTTCCAGTATGTACTCTGAATTGATTCCTTGTTTCTCAGTTACAAGCATCATGGAATCAAGATTAATAACCTGCTTGGTGAGTTTTGTCCACTTTGGAATCTAGTGCCTTTGTATTCAGTGTGGCCTGTTGGGCTGTCTGTGATTCTTTATAAATTCTCTATCAGCCACAGTTAAGGACAGCTAAAGTGACAAGGAACCTACCTGCCTTTTGGGCCACCTTTACCTGCTTTCATTATTTCAACTCCTCTCTGAGGCATTTAATTGTGATTGAGGAGAGTCCGAAAATGGATTTAAAGTTTACTAGTATAATCTCAGTGCTTAGAACAATACCTGGCACATTGGAGGTGCTCAATAAATATTTGTGCAGTGAATAAAATAGGATAGGCCTGGCAGACGATGTCGCACTCTCTAAAACAGCCTGTCACTTAGGTGTGGCTGAGAGGAGAGCACCTTTGTATTGTACCTCTCTGTGGGGTTGGGCTTCCATCTCCACTGTCCACCTGGAGCAAATGCCTTCATTATCAATCCCTTCACCTCAGGGCACAGGGTACCTGGGAAAGGCTTTACTTTAGGTAAGTGGTTGTGTAGCCATCGCACTTGATTTTACTAGTTACGACAAGGTGAGCAGAGCTTATTGTAAAACAAAAACAAAAGATCTTGGAAGGATTTTTATTCCTGGGCTCACTAGTGATTTCCTCACCATTTCTCCAGAAAATACTCAGTCCCTTCTATACCAAACACAGGCCCATGTAACATAATACTGTTGACCTTCACAATCTAATTAGTATAAATAAACACTACCAAGTAAAATACTGCTTGAGAACCACAAGTGCCACAAGAATAGGATTTTATGTACCATATAATGTCACATGGGATGATTGACTTTCACTGAGGAGAACAGGAAGGCTTCAGCAAAGGTGGTAGTTTCTCTATCATAGAAACAATGAACATTTCAATAGACAATGGTTATATGTTATTAATAATACTGTAATTATAAAATTATAGTATACCATCTGTCATATATGTTCAACTACCACCCAGCATTCATTACACCTCTGATTTTTGTTTGTTTATGATTCTTTGTCCTACAAAGCCATGATCCTGAGCCACTTTAACTAAGAAACATTTATATGTAAAGCACAAGTTGGCATATAAGGGCACAGGCTGGGACACTGTTAATAGAATTTGGTGGCAGTATTGCCCTTTATTCCTTCTTTACCAAACACATAAGCCATCTGTCCCAGATAACAGATTTTATATTCATTCTTTCTCAGTTAATAATTGTATTTATTTTACAAAAATGAATTGCAATTTTTCTCTGTTTTCAAATATCATATGCTTCCAAACAAAAAAAAAAGAGTGGAGAATATGGTAGATTTTAAATTTATTTTGAAAAAAAGGTTAGGGAAAGGTTGAGATTGAGGAACTTTTCCAAATTCCCTTCCCATAGTTTTATTCATTTACTCAGCTAATGCTTCTGTAGTGCCTGCTATGTCTTAGCATAGATGACAGGAAGGGTATTCTTGGTAGAGTGGATGTGCTACAATACGTACTTTAACTATTCAAAAGAAACGCTGTATTATTTTTCATGTATGTTGTGTGATCCAACCTCTAGATAAATGCTTTAATTTTGGTTGTTTGTTTCCCTTATAGTGTTGATAAATTCCGTTGCCTACGTAGCATTTAATGGTAAGAAGCAAGTAGCATAATTAGGGGGACATGCATTCAATGAGTATTTATTGAGTAACTTCTATGAGCCAGGCACGGTACATAATAGTTGAGTAATTTAGTTTCTGAAAATGACAATCAGTATAAGACAGAAAAGAGTGGGGCAGTTTTAAAGTTAAACACAAAATACATTTTTGTTCCTTAAGGCTCTTGGAAGAGGGCAGACAAAAAGAAGTTGAACGCCAGATTCCTGACTGGAAGAAATTCAAAGCGTCCACCTGAGAAATTTCCACTTAAAAAACAACGACAGAGGACCTGATCCCTGCTGTAGGGTGCAAAAGGTGACTTGTTTCTAAGGCTCGCTTCAACTGTCCTGCGACCAGCCACACTGGCTGGCTAACGTGTCCTGTGATGGGGACGGTCTCGCGGAACCCGCTCAACTTTTGACAGCCAGAGCCCGGCGCTCCACTGCGCAAAGCCGCCCCACATGCTGCAGGGCGCCAACCTCCGCCCTCCCAGGCGTGCGGGCCAATGGGCTGCACTCCGGGGGCGGGGCAAGGGCAGGCGGGCGGAGCGAGGCCAGGGGGCGGGGCGGCGGCGGCCAGCGCGGTCTTGGCTGTAGCTGCTGGGGCGGCGGCGGCTTGGCCGAGCGTCCGAGGGTCGTGGGGGGATGGGGTCTGCGAACTCCAGCCCTCGGCGGCGGCGGCGGCGGCCGTGAGTGTTGGGCGGGCGTCCGCGTTCCGGACGCGGGATGGAGTGCCGCGGTGAGTGTGGGGCGGCGGCACTCGCTTCGGCCGCGGCGGCTGCGGCTCCGGGCTGCGGTCACCCGTGGTGGCCGCCTGCGAATTGCAGTCCAAGGTCCGGTCGGCCCACGCGGTGGCCCTGAGGGGAGGCGGTGCGGGTGCGGCTGCGGCCAGCACTGGGGGCCGGGCCAGGGTCCTCGGGCTCCTGGTCCTTCGGAGGGGGTGGGGAGTCCAACCCGAGCAATGGGTGCGCCGAGAGCGGCAGGAGAGGAGAAGTCCGGAGGGCGCGAGAGGTCGCTTCGTGGACATTGTGGACACACATGGGTGTCCGAGTTAAGCGACGTCGCCCAAGCCGCCGGGGAGAGACTTGTGGGGCGGACTTTCATCCCACTCCAGGTTCCCCCGAGCTTCCTGCAGCCCTTGTCGCTTTCCTGGCCACACGCCCTCATCCGCCTTCTTTCGGAATGCAGGGGCTCCTTTCCCCTTTCCCCGCTGGATTCCGTCACTGGGTCATCACTTTCGCCTTCCTCACTTGGGATCTTTTTGGAAGTTTGGTGGCATTTTCTGAAATTTCGGTCCTACAAATAAATGCAAAGGCTTAGATAAAATAACAGACACTTCTGATTCCATATCTCTCTTGTCTTATCACACTTCACCTCACCTAGGCCCAGGCTGTTTATCACTTGCGGGGGGGTGGGGAGGGGAGGGCGACACTAAAGGTGGAAAAACACTCATCTTCCTTTTCTATCTGAGTGCCCCCCCTCTGGTGCGTCTCCGTCACTCTGCATACCCCTCCCCTTATCTCTTTTCCCCTTGTGCTGTCGATTCACCAACCCCCACCACCCTCGACCCCCGCCTATCTATCGTTTCCCAGCCTTGGCTCCAGAGCAAGTCCTGTGCTTTGCAAAATAGGAAATGACCGGCGGAGGATTGCAGCTGCTACCAAGAGAGAGTATCCCTGTGAGTTTGTTTCCCTAAACGTCCCTCATGATCGAAACTTCGTGTTCAGGACGTTTTTCCTTTGGCCGTAAAAGTGTCCAGGAACTCGCCTTGTCTTTGAGCCCCTCTGACATGGCCAGGGTCTATCTCGATTTTTCACCACCGTCCCTCATTAGAGACAAAAGTGTAGTTTCTTTACCACCACTCCCGATCCCTCCACACTGAGTTGTGAATCGTTGATATACTGTCTTATGACCACGGATCTTTTGGGGGAGTTAGGAGGCCTTGACTGAAAGTTTCAAGACCGCGGTGGAGCTTTTGGTCCCAAATTTACCTTTTTCTTTTCCTCTTCTTTTTTGGGGAATTAGCTTCACCTCCTATTCCGTTTGGGGGAGGAGGTTTCCTCTTAACAAAAAAACATTTAAATTAAATATGACAGTGAATATATAGATTTAATAAAGAAATCACAATAAATTGCTAAGATTTAGATCTGTTTCTTCAGATTTCTTTAGGCAGTTTGCCAGAAATGCATACTTAGAAATGCTTCCTCATTGTAGGAACTGTGCAAGTGAGGAACCCTGACCGCTTATGCTTCAGTAGCTTTTACAGTACAAATAGCTCTAGTCTCCTGATTCTGAGAAGAGTTTTAAGAGTGAATTTGAAGGAAAGTGATAGGCCTGGGTAGAAAGTGTTTCAGTCCCCACGTTGGCAGGAAATAGAACTTTGGCTGAGATGAAGAAAACAGTGTTCAGGGAATCTATGGTGACTGGTCATTCTCTTTGGGCCCATGTCTCTAAAATAGAACAACCACCTACCTATATTATCAGCGCCTTCACTTCCGAGTTGCAAAGGCCCTTTACCTAGCAATTAGGACTTCACCAACCACTGCTGTTGGTCCCAGGGATTAGTAATATGTTGAACAAAGCTCATGCCCAGAAGGCACCCTGGAAGGATTTGTATTGGTGATTCATTTCAGCATTCTTTCAGACAATGTAGTGTGATCCCATTCCATGTTACAGTCCTATGGAACCTTTCAGTCTATCGAGTAGAAGTAGATAATTTTGAATAAATAGGGCCCAAGACATAATATCTTGGGTTACCCAAGAAGTGTATGTTGAATGTCCTATGGGAAAGTAGAGGGATGATTTATTTTCAGTTGAGAGAATGAGAAGTTTCTTATAAGAGGTGATGTTTTGCATGAGATTGAAGTTAAGAAAATGATTTTAATAAGCACAGAAAGCAGAAGGGCCCTTCCAGCCAGAATTGCTGGTTATGTATAATGCATACCAGGATGTCACTGATCAGCCTCTATGGTTCTGCTTTGGACACTATTTTGTTTGCAATTTCTTACCTCATCCCCAGCATGATGAGCCACAACACATAAAGACACATTCATATGTAATGAAACAAGGAGGTTTAAAAGGAAGGTTAGCAACACATTTTAGTATGATAAGGATTTTTTTCCTTTCTTCTTTGTCTTTATTATTGCACTAATAAACAAAAGAGCCATTTGATGGAACTGCCTCTCTAGATAAGAATTTTTCTATTTCTCAAAAAATGTTCCAGTATTTGTCACTAGAAAGTTTTCAAATACCATAATCTTCCTTTCTAAGGAAGAGGATGGAAAATATTTTTATAAGTATTGAGGAAGTTAAGTATAAGAGACTATTCAAAAGGAACCTTCTATAATTGTACTTAGTTTATTTATCTAATGTTCATTGAGCACCAGCGTGATAAGATTTTTATGTACTTAGAGTGAGTTTTGACTAATGTATACACCCATGTAGCCACTACTGTAATCAAGATGTAGAACATTCCCATCACTCCAAAAAGTTCCCTCATGATTATTTGGAACCCCCCTCAGCCCCCACCACAACCCCTATCCCCAGGCAACTATTGATGTTTTTAGTTACTAAAGATTATGTTTCATCTTTTCTAGAATTTCATGTAAACAGAATCATACAGTATTCTTTTGTGTCTGGCTTCTTTCATTTAGCAGAATGTGTTTAAGATTCATCTATGATGTTTGCTATATCGTGGATATTTATTAAGTAGTATTCTATTGTAAGGTTCTATGATAATTTGTTTATCTATGTGTTGATGGACATTTGGATTGTTGCCAGTGTTTGTCATAAAAAAGTTGCCATGTACATTTGTGTACAAGTTTTTGGATGAATGTATGTTTTCATTTCAAAAGAGTAGAATTGCTGGGTGGTATGGTAAATGTGTGTTTAATTGTATAAGGAACTGCCAGGGTGTAGCAGCAATATGTGAGAATTTTAGTTACTCTGCATTCTGCCCCAAATTTGGTATTTCAGTCTAGCTAAAATTAAGAATTTTTTAGTAGATATTTAGTGGTACCTCACTGTGATTTAAATTTGCCTTTCTCTGATACTAATGATGTTGAGCACTATTTCATATGCTTATTGCCCAGTTGTGTATCTTCTTTTTCAAACTGTCTATTTATATTTTACTTATTAATTTATTAGGTTGTCTTCTTATTATCTAGTTGTAAGAGTTCTTGGTATAATTTGGATACAAATTCTTTGTCAGATATTTTCTCCCAAGTTGTGGCTTAACAGTTAGTTGTCTGTCTAAGAGAAGTTTTAAATTTTGATGAAGTCCAGTTTTCCACTGTTTTCTTATGGTTCTTGCTATTTCTGTCTGAGAAATTATTCCCTAGATTTTCCTTGTTTTAGTTTAGAAGAGGTATCCTTAAACTTTTTTTTAAATGTACCAGATTGTAAATATTTTAGGCTTACAGGCTATAGCAACTCAAGTACTCAGTTCTGCTCTTGTAGCTCAAAAGCAGTTACTGACAATCCATAAATGATTGGGCATGGTTGTATCCCCTCAAAGCTTTTATTCATAGAAATAGGTAGCTCCCCTTTTGACTCCTGAATTTAAAACACTGATATAATTTTAAGTTATATGTTTAGGTGTATGATACATGTTGAGTTAATTTTAGGGTACGTTGTAAAGTAGTCAAGGATCATTTTTTTTTAAAAAAATCCTTATATGAGGATGTGTTTATTGACTTTAAAGAGAGAAGAAGGGGAGAGAGAAAAACATCAATGTGAGAGAGAAACTGGTTGCCTCTCATAGGCACCTCGACTGGGGATTGAACCTGCAACCTAGGTATATGCCCTGACCTGGGATCCAACCTGCAACCTTTAAGTGTACAGGATGATGTTCCAACCAACTGAACCACCTAGCCAGGGCGAGGACAATTTTTTTCTCAAATGTACATCAACTTATTTAGCACTCTTTGAGTACCTTTCTATCACTGAATTATATTGGCACCTCTTGAAAATCAATGCACTGTATATATGTGGGTCTACTTCTAGACTCTATTCTATTCTGTTGATCTATGCTTCTCTTTATACCAATATCACCCTGTCTTGATTACTCTATAGCTCTGTACCAAATCTTGAAATCAGGCAGTGTAAGTCCTACAGTTTTGTTCTTTTTCAAAATTGTTTTGGCTGTTCCATATCTTTTACATATTCATGTACATTTTAAATTTGATCAGTTTCCACAAAAAAAATTCAGAAGGGATTTATTTGGGATTGCTTGAAACCATAGATGAATTTGAGGAAAATTAAAGTTTTAACAGTATTGAGTCTTTCAATTCATGAACATGGTATACTTGATTTATTTAGCTCTTTAAGTTGCAGTAGTGTTTTGTAGTTTTAAATTTGGAATCTTGTACATGTTTTGTTAAATTCCTAAAAATATTTTGCTTTTGGATATTATTGTAAATGGTATTAGTTTTTAAAATTGTATTGTCCAATTGTTTGTTGCTAATATAGAAAAAAACTGATTGTGGTATACTGGCCTTGTATTCTGTAACCTTACTATGTTCATTTATATGCCATTCAGATGTCAGCTCAACCCCATCTCCAGTTTTGACAAGTTTGCTTATAGGTTCCTCAGGATTTTCTAGGTATATATTCGTACACATGTCGACTTGGAATACAGTGTTTCAATTCTTCCCTTTCAATCTATGTGTTTTATTCTTTTTCTAGTTCTATTATACTGTCTAAGACCTTCAGAACATTATTGAATCTGATCTTGAGGGG